GGACGATATTGCATATTGCTTCACAAAGAAATAACTTAGAGATGGTAGAATATCTAGTAGATGATAAGGGATCTGATGTTAATGCTAAAATGGCCTTTGGTTTAAAACCTATACACATTGCAGCAAGAGAAGGTTGTAAAGATACTTTAGAGTTTTTCATTAGTAAGGGGTTAAGTATTAAGTTCATTAATAATGAAGTTGATGCATATAATTGGACATTACTACACTATGCAGCATCGAAAGGTCAATTAGAAGTTGCGAAGTATTTGATAGCACAAGGCGCTGACGTTAATGCTAAAACTGTTAATGGCTTAACTCCTATGCATATTGCTGCTAAACACGGTTATAAAGACTTTATTCAAATTTTATTAAAAAATGGAGCAGTTTATAACGCTGTTGACCATACTTGTAAAAAACCACTAAAAATGTCTAATGACGAAAACGTTATCAATTTATTAGAATCAACTGAGAAATTGTTCGAGGCTGTAAAACGTAATGGCTCTTCAGATGTTGAGAATTACATTAAAGCAGGGGCGGTCGTTAACGCCAAAAATGTTAATGGAACATCATTACATTATGCTGCATGTAATGGCTATGACAATATCGTCAATATTCTGTTACAAAATGGAGCTGATCCTAATACAGTTGATAACAAGGGATTTACCCCTCTACATTATGCTGCTAAGTCCTGTCACTTAAAAGTTGTAAAGCTCCTATTATCTAATGGTGCAATATATAATACAGTTTCTGATGATGGTAAAACACCGTCAGATTTTAGTGTAGATAAAAGTATTACTCGCTTATTTCAATTACTGCGTGACTCATTTGAAAATATTAAAAATGATGATTCTCAAGTTATTAATGATCTTAACAAGATAAAGGATATTGATACAGTAAAAGCAATAATGAATGCTCGTAATGAAGAGAACAAAACTCTAGTAGTTTCTGCAGTGCATAATAACTTTTCAGAAGTCGAACAGTTAAAAAAGGTATTACAAGATGATGTATCCGTTCAGATTAATGAAGGTTTAATGTTTTATAATCGAGGCGATTATAAAAGAGCTTTATGTATATTCGAAAGCGTATTTGAAAAAAAAAAAAAAATAATAGGTTCAGATAATCCTGGCACTTTAGATATTCAGA